TAACGCCATTTTTTCAGGATTTGGTGGAGGAATTGGACTCCAAGATGGACGACGATGTTCACGAGGCGGTTGCCATCATGATTTTACCACCAGCAGAAGCAGATGCAAGGTCAATGTATTACGCTATGAAGGTAGTTTCATTCATCGTCGGTTGTACTGTCTTAGTTGTTTCTGATCAACAGTTTTCTTTTTTAAAAAACAGGGAGTTGGCACAAACGAAGTTCATTTGATCGAAATTCTTTGTACAAAATCAAATGAGGTAAAACTTTTCCCCCTTTTTGCAGAAATAATTACCAACCTGGTTTGTTTTTCCGAAATCCATTCTTTATATTATTTTCCATTCATTCATTTTTTACTGATTTCATTCATTCATCCACTCATTTGTTTCTTCAATGTGCCGAGTTCTCAAGTTCACTGATACTTTATAGATCTCTGATATATGTTTTCACATTTAATTTAGCAAATGGCTGCAATGAAGAAAGAATACCAGAAAAGTAAGATTCTGATACAACCAAATAACTTAGATTAGTTCTACATTAGAAGAAAACAATGTCAAAATATCAGTGAGCCGATTGAATAAATGCGGCACAATGTTTCCTGAATTGCGTTATAATCTTGCATTATAGAATACGGCCGTTCATTGGAGCAAGATGTCAAATCAGAAACAAGTGGTGACTTTGAAAACTTACTTACCGCCTTGATGAAGGTATTGCTGCCTGTCAAAGTTTTTAATCAAACACCTGATGAGACCCTTACGTCCTTGTAGCAAGAAACACCATGGCTGTTTGTTTGTTTGAGTATTTAAAAGCTGCGAGCAACAGTTTCTTTACACAGCTATTTTCATTTTTTGGCACACAGGGAGATCGAAGTGAAGCATCCAAAGTAGACGAAGAAAGCGCGCGAAAAGACGCGTCTGCACTTTACGAGGCGGGAGTCAAGAAGTTAGGGACAGACGAGGACAAGTTTATTGACATTTTGACCAGTAAAAGCAATGCTCATCTCCAAGCAGTCATTGCTGAGTACGAGAAWCTAGCAGGAGTAAAGCTCCAAGAYTCYATCCAAGACGAGATGGACGGTGATTTACGCGATGRTCTTGTCATGTTGTTGTCATGTGYGCAAGATGGCAACAAGACTCAGGCTGACAAACTACACGCTGCMCTACAAGATGGCGATACTAGTACTGTAGCAAGAGTCATTGCTGGAGCTGATGAGGTATGCTATCTTTGTCGGATGTATTGTTGTACAGTCAGTATTAAAGCAGCTTTGCGACCAATATGCATATGATAGGATGACCCGTAACTTTTGATGATTATGATGATGATGATGATGATAATAAAAAAATTTCCTTTCTTCGTTTGATAAATCCAACATTATATTTTAGGACAAAATGAAGGACATTGAGGATGCGTACAATAACCTTTATGATCCTAAGTTGTACTTTGAAGTGGATAAAAAATGCAGCGAAGACCTCAAGAAGATAATCTTGGATAAATTGAAAGGTAGGAGCACTGATCATAAATCCGAAATCAGTTTGATTAAAATGTTTATTTTTATTTTATTTTTCTCAAGATAAAAGTGAAACAAAGAAAGAGCGAGCACAACAAAACAGTGCAAATAAAAACAAGAAAGATAACGTGGACAAACCTGCTGACAACGAAAAATCACCCAATGAAAATAATAACACCGCATCTAGCGAGAAACCTACCGATGAAAGCCAACAGGAGCAGGAAGAAAATGGCGGCAAAGAAGAGCGACCTAAAATCAACGTAACAAAGGTATTTTTCATTCTGCAACTCGTTTCAAATTTTACCACATCGCAAATATAACTTCATTTTGGATTCGTTGTTTCTCGTACTGCATCAATGTAGAGTGTACCTTTAAGTTAAAGGTGCTACTTGGAATAAATGATTATTTTTAATGTTTGTTGAACAACATTAGGTCGAGCATCATGGGACAATAGTCGCTGCTAAGGATTTTGATGCTGAGAAAGACGCTGAAAAATTGAAGACAGCAATGAAAGGATTTGGTGAGTATTTGAGCTGTGCGTCAGAATGACAAAAGAAATGGATAAGATGAATGAATGAATCGCCATCTTTATTGATGTCACGTGTATGTTTACTGATATAATGAAGGATAAATATTGAATGAATTAGTAAATAAATGGATGGAGGATATGTTGACTAAACGCGATTTCTTCATTTCGTGTTGATATTTTGTATGTTACTATTCACAGGAAGCGATGAAGACGCCATCATCGAGGTGCTTTCATCCTGCAGTTCAGCTCAAAGACAAGAAATAATAGCTGCTTTCAAACAAAAATACGATAAAGTAAGATTAAAGTGACACTCAGTTGAAAATTAAATCGTTTTAAGCGTCTAGGATATGAAATAAGCATGCRCAATGGACTCGAAGCWGCATGMTAATCAGGCTAACACYAGTCTTGCGTCGTCCTTACACAAAACGACATTTGTTGCAGGACCTTATAGAAGAGCTGAAGTCTGAACTGAGTGGAAAATTCGAAGACACAATTGTTGGTCTGTTGTCAACTGCTGCAGTCTACGATGCCATCTCTGTAAATGGTGCAATGGAGGTACAGACCTTTTTACATATTTATACGAGGCGCACAGTCGTTGCATTTGTTTCAGTACTCGAGTGCATCTGAATGAATATTAAGAACGCTATTAGCTATAGCTTATATTACGTCACATCTCTACGATTTTCTATAGGGACTTGGTACCAACGAAGGTGTGTTAGCAGAGATAATATGCTCACGTTCAAGCGAGGTAAATTAAAAAGTGTAATTTTTTATCATTATTGGGCATTCTCACCATAAAATATACCTTGTCATTAATTTGATGATGTTAATCGACATACCATGACTAAAACACGCATCCATTTATCGCAAATTCTTATTATTTAATTCAAAGGAACTCCAAGACATCAGCCAAGTGTACAAAACCAATTACAGCAAAGATCTGGTAGAAGCAGTTAAAGACGAGACGAGTGGAGATCTTTGTGACTTACTTACAKCCCTSTTWCAGGTTAGATACTTACAGTTGTCATATTGACTGACCTCTTGGAACTGAACTGGGTCAGTGTGTTTGTTAATTAAAAGTGAGAATGTAGAATTGATACCCGTGAGCGATCCGCGATAAAATAAGCTGACTATTCTACAGTAGATATCAGCCATAGTACCTCATTCTACTGCAAAACCTTTCTCTGATCATGCGCACCATGTTTTTATAGGCGAAAAGGCCTTCAGGTGAAGACTTTGATGAAGATGCTGCTTATGGAGACGCTCAGAGACTTTATGAGGTAAAAATTCCGTCATGATGAAAATGATGAGCTGTTCATGGCAGGAAACTAATGATTTGTTTATTTTTTTTTTGCAGGCAGGGGAAAAGAAATGGGGCACCGATGAATCCATGTTTGTAAATATTCTAACAACACAAAGTATCGTCCAATTAAAGGCAATATTCCAAGCTTATAAAAACGTAAGTTAACTGCGTGAATTTTGCGTGCGTTTAAATGTAGAATGATGCGTAAACGCAAAGAGCAAGTCGCACACAATGGACTGTCTGATACTAAGAAAGGATATTTTCAACAATTCACAGGTTTCAAAGAAAGACATCCTCGAATCTATTGAAGATGAGTTAGAAGGCGACTTTCAAAAAGCGGTTAAAGTCTTAGGTAATTGACACAGTAAAATGGTTTGTAAATGGTTGTTCTACGTATTGAATAACTCCAAAAATATCATCGTTTATGTGGTCTTATGTTGTAATATTCATTTTTTTGACAGTGATATGTATGCAAAATCCACCAGAGTATTTTGCAGAGAGTCTTCACGAGGCTTTAACTGGAGTTATTACCAGTAACTCAACAGTATCCCGAATCATTATAACGCGATGTGAGGTAATCTAGCCACGGGGAGGATGGGGTGGAATGTTTTATTGTTTAGAAATCGAGCCAGTACATCTAAGAATGCGGTTGTTTTGTTGTTTAACGACTCCCCAAACATACTACAGTGGTATGCGCGCACCAAAGCTGACGGATTAGTGATTGATTCCTGTGTTGATTGATTGATTCACGTGATTAATTGATTCAAATGATTCAGATTGATTTGTTTATTTAATTCACTGGATGATTTCAGTCGATTGCATGATTAGTTCATTGATTCTGAATAGAATTCGCGTCCTATAAGCTGATAATAATATCATTATATTTATTAATGATATATATATAATCAATTATTATTATCATTCATATGTTAATTACTTTTATTTTAGATTGATCTCGTGGAAATCAAAAAGGTTTATCAGGATAAGTATGGCAAGTCTCTATTAGACGATGTCAAAAACAGCCTAAAGGGAGATCAGGAAACTTTACTCCTAAAACTTCTTGGGGATTAGCATATATCCAACCTTAATGACCGTAGAGAACACCCCTTATATACCTTAAAGAACATTCCTACTTGTTCCTATAGCTGGCGAAACATACTAGCCTACCAAATTGTTATGAAATGTATATACATAAGCCTGTAATTTTTCTACAAAACATGAAATAAAATATCAATTTAATAATTTCAAGTATTGATTCTTAAAATATAGTCTAACGAATAGGCTCCTCTTTGAAACTCCTTCCGGAAGTAGCCGCAAGGCTGGGAATTGAACTACATGCCTACACCTATCACTTCTTTGATTGTATTAATGATTTTATCTTTGGCGCCCCGTACCGGGAACATTACGTGTAGCTAATAGTTTGTAAGGGACTGCGCAATATTTAATCTAATTTTATGTCCTTCAAGATGGAGGACAACGTCTAAAATTAACTAGAACTTTAATTGGAAACTGAAAAATCAACGGTGCCAGATTCTGTGCTTTTTGGCCAAATACTTATTGAAGTGGAAAACGTGTCAAGAAAAGGGTGCAACGATCTGCGACAACTCTTAACTCACGAATAATAAATAAATAAATTAACGAGGGGGGGGCGTGATGTATATCGTTTTCGAGGGGGTGGTAATTAACTTTTTTGACTCATTTCTCAACCCTTCCCTCCCCCCCTCCTGAGTAATATTGCGCAGTCCCTAGGCCTTCCCTGAAGGTGCCCTGTGAGGTCTTCGTTATTGATGCTCTTGATTATGTTTGTATTTCTGTAACTGTCTGGTCTTGATCTGTGGGATGCGGGTGTACACGTACACTACGTGAAAACCGAACCCTTGAGTTCCTRTCGTARCGTGATGACCTCCTAACCRCTTGATGGCTYAATACATGCCGTGTGTGATTATACTCCCTGAAGTACAAATTAGTAAAAACAAGGTTTAAAAAAACACCYACTAAAGTGAGAAARACRACCGCAGCAGTCGTTCCAGACGAGTACCATTTACGCACGTTAGCCGCGGAGTAGTARAGCGTCACCATCATGACATTTTCGGCTGCAAAGATTCCGTAGTACAATCCAGCAGATAGCAAAGAGCGAGATATCTTCAGCTCGAAAGTTCGTAGGTGAATTTGCTTAACAGTGAAGCCTAAATAGATGAATACATAGCACGGGAGAATGAGAACCGCAACCCACCATACGTCGGTGTCCGCGAAACGTTTTCTATTGATGGTGTAATAAATTATGATGCATATTAATTGGTGACAACCCAACACGGCCGCCGTGACCCATGAATGAGATATGATAAATGTCACAATTGTGATTATTCGTGCAATGAGCAGAAATGCGTTGTAAGTCACGATAATTAGAAAATACGTTTTAACGTCTTGGACCCCAGGAAGTGTCCTGTTTTCAAATGTCGCTATTGTGGAAACAAGACTRATCAAGGAAAAWGTAATGGACGCTATTTGAATCCAGTGTATGGCTTTTTCTTGTCCATTTAAAGTGTGYATTTGTAAAATCATTTGAGGTATATCTTCCATTAGGGACTGCACAAAATCATTGACAACGGAAATCCTGATGATATTTTTATCTTGGTCTTTTGTGACTAAATARCCRTATCGATTSCACACTTCTTTGCGATTCTTGAKACACAATGTAAATAAACGAAGCTTTAACATTCCTGGTCCAAACAATCCAAGGTAGCACAGGTCTCGACAGGCTTTTAGCACACCATCACTCCTAATGTGTTGTAATAGGTGGGCAAAAGTCATCGCAACCGAAGGCGCTAGGGCAAAAGCTAAGCAAAAACCAAATTGTTTGTACTTGGAGGCTTGGAAGTACAGCACACAGGTAGCGATGTCAGAACCGACATCGGCCCAAGCAAACAGCGTACCAACGAGATATTTTAAGAGGTCGTACTTATAAAGTACTTTAGTGCGCTCTAGTGGCATTTCAGGGTCAGTTCTAGTAGTGCTTGCGGTTTCATCAGTTTGTGACATGGATGATTTAAGTCATAAACAACTGATACAATCACTGCCTGATGGGTTCTTCACTGGTCAGCTTATCAATACCACATCGTCTGAATCAAACGGTAGGAAACGGTRKCTTTTTCAGAAGTTAAACCAACCACCAAAGCAAGTATAATTGGAAGTTTGTTCTTGGGATAATTTCTAGTCGTGTTTGATTTAGTAGACTAATCTTGAGGAACATTAGAAGGCGGTACAAAGGTACGTCCTATAATATGACACCGTTGCTAGGTAAGGATGGATTGTGTGTTTACATGTACCACGTGATGATGGAAATCGAACTTGTTGGATTTTCATCCTTTCTTTCATTATTTCACTTCTTTTAATCTAAATAAAATGTGCTTTTTTGCTATTTAATCATCTTATGAGTCACGCACGGTTCAACTTTCCTTCTTTCAATTTTGCATTTTTCGCTTAAGTTTCTTTTTCATTATTTTTTTTTCTTTTCAACTCTACTGACGTCTTTTTTCTTTCTTACTTACATGTAAATCATTTCATCTCTTCAGCATTTTTTATTTCATTTTTTTATCAAAACATTCCAATTATTTAAGTATATTTTTAAAAAAAAAGTCAATGAGTAAAGCTGTGATCACTGCTCGTTCATTCATTCCTAATTCATTCACACAAAAATCGTTCGCCTTTGTTTATTCCGTCATTTTTTATTTTTTCMCTTTCGTCAAAAGCTAGTTGTATGGGAGGGGAGGGTGAAATTATCAGATCATGCAGATTGATATCCCAGACTACCACTCTGGCGTCCTAAAATGGCGGAAAGAAGCCACACACTTACGATTAACACAAATAACAACTATGTTTTTGCATTTAATCCTATCTATGCACAGCCATTTTKCCTCTTAGTACTAAATTAACTCAAATACCTTTGCATTGGTTTGAAAAAGTGCTCAAGATGCCCCGGACAAGCAGAAAAACYCGCGTTCAAAGAMGKACWTGTGTCAAGTGCAAAATGTGTGGCAGTCTTGTAAAACACGAAAACCACGAGAAAAAGTCTTCAAAAGATGTATCCTTGCTTTGAGGTTGTAGTTTTTTAATCGTATGTTATGTTGTTGTTCTGGGCTACCTGCAAAGAAACGGGTTCCACAGTGAGACAAGTTATGTCAGTACACGAGTGTCAAACATTGTGCAGAATGCGTAAAGGCGAATCTGACAGGACAACGTGCTCACACGAAAATAATCTTCAACTCCCTTACAACGTATGAAGTTGTTTGCTGGAATTATTTCTCTTGCATTCTTTGTAGTTAAACGACTGTCGTCTAAAAACCACCGGTTTGTACCAGTTACACACTATAAACAACAACAATCCAATGAAAGTTTTACTTATATGTAACGAACTTTCAGAATGATAGAATGATGTAAAAATGTTTAAATTTGTACTATCGCCATAATTTTTTATTATATTTATATTGAATTTATTTATAACTTTAAAGCTAATGACAGAACAGCTGACAAAGTTCTCCTCATTGCTGTGGAGTATTGTTTCATTTGTTTTTGGGCATGCATTTTTTTTTTACCTGTAAGGTGCAGATATTTTTCGTAGTTTCTTGAACCATTTTAGAGCAGTTTTTTGTATGACTGTGAAACGTTACGAGTCAAAGCATCATGGGTCATAGCATTGGTCATAGCAGTAATACCATTATATGGAAACACTGAATCAAGGCTGCAGTACTTAGAGTCAGGTTAAATCAGAAAACATGTAGCATGCTGGCTAAATTTCGAAAATATTCTGTCTCAGCTATAGATTACTGTTTTAAGCTCGCATGTTTCTGAAAAGACTAAATTGACAAACATCAAAGATACATGTAGCAGGCAACAATGTAGTGTGCAGTATGTATACTAGTTTACGCAATCTTTTCAGTTTATTCAAGGGAATGGCATGAAAGTCCCATAAATTTGAAACATTCAAAAATTAACTCCTTCTACCTTTCCAATCTGAACTGAATACTTTTTCATAGAATGTGAAATCTGTTAAGAGTACCTGCCACGTGTCATGCAGAGTAATTTCCTTCTTTTTTTGTTTGGGATAGTGTCAAAAATATTTTGATCTAGTAATGCATCCATAATAGAAAATTCCTTGACAATGAATTTTAGATTCCAGGTTATTTTTATGATGCAGAAAAGCAACGATATTTTAAGATAACAAATGAAACAAAGGACAAGTATAAATCTCAGAGGAAAAAGAAAGAGCCAACGTTTTGTGAAACGTGTACAAATTATAAAGCAATTCAAGAAAGGGTAAGTAAACATACTCTTTTTGAAGGAAGAAAGTTAATTAATGACCCAGTTTACTTTGTACCAAGTGATACAAGGGAATGAAGAGTGACATAGTTTGTTGTTTGTGCTCTCTAAGAGGATAGGAAAAATACTATGAAAGAAATACCTACCTGTGCGCTGATACGTCTGTGAACATGCAGGAAGATGGAGAGTACACTCAAGACACTAGAACACTTACCTTGCTTGTGTTCCCACATTGTTTGTCTGAGCGCAAATCCATTTCTTAATTTGAATGCATCTGCTTTACAAAAGATCTGTATCAAAGCATAAAACTTTACCAAACTGCTGTTGAGACTCCTCCTCAAATGGGAATGAACTCAGAGCTGGAGAAGTTGTGACCTTTGTTTTATTTTTTGATTTGAAGTTGTCAACATTGTGGCAGCTAGCACTCCTCCATTTGTGTTTCAAAATTTCAACAATTGCACAAAGAACATCTTTCAAATAGCTAAGCAGCTGTGTGTTTGTTTTGATTTCCAGAAAAGACGAAATTGCTCAGTAGTAAAACAAATTGTATCACAACAGTATAAACACAGAACACCTTGGAGTTTACGAAGGTAAGTCCTTCACATACTTGTGTACTTAGTAGTGTGTTTTCTTTGTTGAATAGTTAATGTAGCAGAAGATTTATTGCTAAAATAGACATAGTAATAAACCATACAATTAAATTAAAGATTTGATTTTGTAGGGAAACTCTTGAAAGCCTAGTTAGTAGTTACTATGTCAAGGAAAAGATGGACATTGAGYTAACACACCTTGAYCCRTGYGACTTTGCTGTATGTCAGATAGAGGTACACCATACAGTTGCATTATATCTTCTTCTATCTAATATATTACATTATTATGAGTACRATGGTTTAATTCTTATTCTCGTTCCTTTTGTTATTCCTTGATGCTGTTCATATTCTTTGGCTGCCTTGCTTTGATGCAAAGGCACGTCTACCTTCCATGATTGTGCAGGGAACCATGAGGGAGACTATTCTCGTTCAAAATTAAAAAATTCTCCATTCCATTCCTTCTTTACTTACCCTTTTCTATTTCCATTTCCATGAAATTATCATTCTACCTTCAACATTTTTCAACATTTATATTCAATTAACTTAGATATTTCTGATGTTTTGAATCAGTGTCCACTTCTTTGCTCCCTGTTCATGACATTTTTATCCTTTCATTTCTCTAATTTATTTTTGTTTCTGTTCCTAAATCTTACTGTTAAAATATTATCCATTACAGCCTGATTTGAAGTGCCAAAAGGTTTTAACACTATATAAAACAATCAATGCTGAACACCAAATGTAAGTTTTCTGAACAACTTCTTTCTAATTTCTTTGAAAACATCTTTTGCAAGACCTGAAAATGATAAAAACTTAATGTTGAACTTCTAATTTGTAAATTTGATATTATGTTGTGATATTGTAGTGTCCAATTCCATCAAGTGGAAAGGGAATCAAAAAGTAAATTGACACTCGTTCCTGGTACGGCAATGATGAAGAAACAGGTGAGCTATGGAAACCAGTATTATAAACTGACAAATACTATTGTAACATTACAATATCCTTGTTACATAGCTGTACACAACCATTGTGTCATTATTGCTGAATGGTAGACATGTTTTTGATATGACCAATAGCTACTAGTTAGAAATATTTTGTGAAAGTAACACCAAAATGGTTGACGTGCATGTAAATGATAAAATACTCTGTTGCAGCATTGTCTTGAACTCAAATATCATAAAAATGCTGCATGACTATGCTAATTTCAATATCTGAGTAATTCCATAAGAGTTCTCAAGATTATTGCTTAAAAGGCAGATGTGTTAATGTTTGGTTTATCACATTGTAGGCTGTTACATCTCTTCACTGGAGTCCTCACCCAAAGACATCAGAGTTCTTTTTGTATCCTGAAGGAAGTCTTTATTGTGTGAAAAAAACCTCTAAGATAGTTCTTCTTTTATGTTTTGATATAGGATATCCCTCCCTTTTCCTTCCATTCTTACTCCCTTCTATTATTCACTTTCTCCCTTTCTCCCTTCCTTTTGTCCCTCCCTCTTTCCTTCATTCTTCCCTCTTCTCTGTTTGATGTAGGCTACAAGGAATATGTTTGACCTTTAGGTCAGACAATATACATGTATTATCATATTTATATGAGGATTATACATTTTGATTAGTGTTCAGTAACAAGGGTTAGATGTATGAAGTGTGAATGGCACTATCCACAAGATGAATCCTTATCAAGTGGTTAAAATCCAGGCAAAATCTAAGTCCGGGTTGATATCTTGGGCCAGTTGTATGAAGGATGGATACAGATAGCATAGATTTTGTTTGAATTTATCTGTTAGATTAGGGTATCTGGTGGATAGTACTATGCAACTAGCCCCTACTTTCTTTCACTTCTCAAGCATGCAACTGCCCTTTGACTTGTATAAGTAATGTGTAGTCAATAAATAAATAGTTTTCTCCTTAATGTATTACAAGAATGTCATTATTAGGATGTGATGGAAAGTGGGGAGAAGGGATGCTTTTCCATACCAATGGAGTCATGCAAAGTAAGATTGTTAAGTGCATTCTAGGGGTTGCCCAGTTGTTCAAAGCTCGATTAGTGCTCATCAAAATTAATGCTAATAAGGTAGAAATTTCTTTTAATGATTGCTATTATAATAGTATTAGGTAGCTTAGTAGTATAATTTACAAACTAGTTTTTGATATGTTTGATGATGTTAGTTTATAATAATTTGTTTGTTTTCTTTTCAGCATTTATAAGTCGCTATCCCATGAATCATCATTCAGTGTGGACAAGTGCCTGGTGTACTAATCCATTCTATGATAACATCATTAGCATGGGTAAATATCCCTATTACTCATCCCTCTTCTTTTGTTTGATTCCATCCATCCATCTTTCCTCTTTCCCTCCTTCCATCCTTCCTCCCAGGCTGCCTTTCTCTCTCCCCCTCTTCCTTCCATCCTCACTCACTCCTCAATCCCTTCTATCATTCCTATCTCCCTCCCTCCCTTTCTTACATGTATTCCACTACTCTCTTGTTATTCCTTCTGTGTAATAATCCAGTTTCGAATTCTCCAATGCTCTGTGTTAGCCTCATTTGTGCGCAAAACATTCCTAATTGTGAGAATAAAAGTGTGAGATTTCAAATCAATTCCATTGTCTTTCTTTTCAAATTCCATGCGTTTTCTCKGGCTATCAATGAAACAAAAGATTATGTTGCTTGGTTTTGAGGCTAACACAGAGCAAACCAGAACTCGAAATCGGAGTATTCCAACTGAATATTTGTTTGATTATAATTACTTTATTGTTGTTGTTGTTGTTGTTTCCCCCTAAATTATTATTATTAAATGGAGTTTCTTTTTTTAATGTATTTTTTTCAGGTGCCTCTAAAATGGCGCTTACATTTGATGTCAATACCAGAAGGCGAATGCTACGTTTTCTTTCCAATACTGATGTTTTTGCACAGGATTTTGCTACTCAAGTAAGTGGATACATGTTCAGAATAATGACACTGATGAAGAATGGCAATGAGGCTGAAACGCTCAACAGTTCAAAAAAGTTGCAATTAGAGGGGATTGTTTTTGATTGTAATTCATTTTAATAAATAAATATCATTAACAATTATACTCAACATCATGTCTTATTCAAAACAGAATCGTTTAAATATTTATTTAGTGATTTAATTTTACTGATAGCAGTGTTTGATTCTACAGAGTCCAGTTCTTTTCAATGGTTTCCGTAATGGAGACATCAAGAGYTCTGATATTCGCTTAACAGGGTCACGTGTTCCTTGCTTGTTTATGGCTCAAGATAAACCAATTACATCACTAAAACTACTACGAGACGAAGTGTACTTAATGGTCAGTGGGATGGATGATACTGTAAGTACACCTTTGCTGGTTTTTGCTCTTTTAAAACTTTTGTTCATATTATGTTCAAGTTTTATTATATAAAATGTAGAATTCTTGTAATTTAGTATAGTCCAACTTGAGCCGTAAGTAAATGCTGCAGATTGCAAATTCTTTTAATAGGGTTTACATCAAGGACTTTCTACATGGAATGGGGGAATGTAATTTTAATGACAGCTAACCTTTGAACTTAATGTAAGATTAGGTCACACATCCCCTCCCCCCTTTTGTGGTACTAGTAGAATGTTTATGCTCAAGAATAAATCATTATCGTTTGATTTATGCGACAGACAACATTTAATTTATCCTTAGATACGACGGTGGGATTTACGAATGTCAAAAGTTGTTCAAGAATATCATGGTCACTGTAATACAACCACACTTGGCCTTTCTATCTTCATGGATCCATCAGAGTCATTACTATTTGCAGGTATTTTGAGTTGAAAGATGACACAACTCAGTTGAAAGATGACACAACTCACTTGACTCTCCTTATATTAGAGTATAATAATAATAGTAATGAATGTACTCTTAGAGCATTGGTTTTTTTTCAGCTGGTGAAGACTCTGTCACACGTATCTGGAGTGTCAGCAGTGGGGAGTTAGTCCATACCATACCATTCCCTGTTGAAGAAAAAACCAACCTATCCTCTATACCTGCTCTTAGCTWCTCTGATGAGTGGGGKGGACCTGGGGGTTTACCAGGGCTTATGTATGGAASCAATGAAGTGATGCGCTGGTAYGGTACGTGATGATGGTGTAYGATAATTCTTTTTGTCCAAGCGAAAAAATGGAGAGTGTATAGTAAGATGTGACTGAAGAAAGTTGGAAATTCAGGATTCAAGAAACAGTTACTGATGTTTGAAACTTATCAATGCTATAAATGTGTTTGGCGTTAAACAACGTTGGAATTCTGAGGACTTGAATATTGAGATATTGAACTGTTTTCAACTCAAAGTTTGAAATCATGAAAATGCATGTTTGACAGTTGATATTTCAAAACAAATCAATGTCTGAACAAGATTATTAATGATTGATTGATACTTTCAATTGAATGAAATTCACTGGGAATATTTGAAAAGAGGTTTACAGATGAAAGTTGCCATGGAAACAAAGTTGGCTGTGTAGCCCACRAAAGAAAATATAAACAATAAGAATTATTGATAATAATTAATAGATTATTTTAATAAGACACAAATAAGATTGCCTATATTAAACAGTGAAGGTGTCAGCTCATTCAACTTTGAAGCAGCAGTTAATAGCAGGAGACTAACAATATCATTATTATTTAATTATTAATATTATTTTTTTAAAACAATATTTGATGCTGCTATTAAAAAACATTTATATAGATGCTTGTTGGTAACATGGAATAAAAACATTGTTTTCAAAACACTGCTTGCTTTTACTTTGCTTTTGTTTTCTAAATGTTCTGCAAATGGCACATGATAGACCTTTTGCATGAAACATGGTTACTAAATCCACCATGCTGGATGGCAAAATACATGGGATGTTCAAAACAAAGAAAAGTCAAGTTTAACAGGCTGCATTCCATTTGTATGGCAAATTTAGTACCATGTGACRATTTCATTCAAAAAGCCTATAAAATGCAGTATGTTATAACCTTAATTTAAAAACAAAGGCATTAAGTAGCCACCAATGTCATTTATCAAAGTTTATTTTGTTATAACTTGGTATTAATAGTAACTTTGTAGTACAATAATTACAATATTCAAAACAAGTCTTGTATATGTTTCCTATAGTTCCTTTATGAATTTTTTATGTACAGGGCGTTACTAAACACTAAAAACAAAACTAATTTGTTTAATACAGTAATCGTTTTGAATCAGACTCCTGTTAAAACCATAAACTTTATATACATGTATTAAACCGTTTCAAGATTATTGTCCTCAAACTCAAATATTTCTGTAATGAAGTCCAGTCTTTTTACTGACAGAAAAGCACAGGAAGACCACTGTTGATATGCTATAAATCCTTGCTTTTCAAACATTTATCACACACCCGAACAGGTTGGTCCCAACCCCTAGAGGGGACAGGCAATCGRTGCTTGGAGCAATTGTCACACACYCCTTGTCCACAAGCCCTGCAGTGATGTTTTTTGTCCTTGACCTTGAACTCTGTTTCACAAATATAACACTCGCTGATCTGTGAGTCTGGGACCCAGTAGCTTGGACGTGCTGCATCTGTTAGTATCTCTCGAGGGTAGTCTAATGCAGTCCCTAGTCTCTCMACAGCTGTCTGGACACCCTCGATCATTTTTCGAGCAGCTCTTGGTCCCAGGGTTTTGTCGACTAAGGTTTGGTTGCTKTCATCTTCTAATGCATCTGATAATTCACTAGATGAAAATAAAAATGGATTTTAAAATTCAAATGGAAGTAAAGTGTATGACAATTCTTGCTAAAGAAAAAAAAAATGCTTTTAAAACAATATTTTTCATATGTTAAAGTGTGTTTTTTATTGAGACCATGCTATCTATTATCAGGAGAGTACACTGATATAAATAACCAACCTCAAGTCTAATGCAGGATGTTGTTCTCTGTCYGYTTGCTCKTCATTGAAGCAGATATCGCAAACACGCACAGGTTCTGTACCCCAGCCTCGTTCTGGCACAGGTTTCTGATTGGATGAGCACTCGTCGCAAAATCCCCCACCACATGCACGGCAATGGTGTTTTTTCTCACCAACATCAAATGGACGTTGACATGCTTGACAAGCCTAATGTTGCATAAAGAATGTTTTAGCAAAATAACCTCTACTGTCAAGTATTTCTTTCCTGCTGTCTCAGTTACTATTTAAGTTTAGCTCATGCAAGAGAACAAACATTAAATGTGTGCAACACTTTCCACTATTTACTACAAAATAGTGTTAATTAAACAATAGAAAACAATAGAATTAGCATAATTTAGCAGTATTTAGTGGTATTTATGTTGCACAGTTTTAGTGTTTGTACTCAATCATCAGTGTAAACTAAAAATACTTTATTTTCCTTATTGCCTACAGTGATAGACTATGTTTTTACTTCACCTCAAAAAAATATATTATACCATGGCCATGGGATTATAATGTTTTTGCTTATGTCTAGCTATATGTAAACCGTATTAAACCAGCATTTTTGAATCTCTATGACTTACTGTTATCTGAGAGTTAGGAATCCAGTATTCCGGTGCTACTTGGTCTGCTATCCAGTCAGTCACTACTCTGCTGGAAGGAGCACTGTATGCCGTTACAGTGTCTGTAACATACTTTACACCGTCCAAAACACGCCGGGCTGCATTGCTTGGCTCATGAGGTGAGGTCATGTCCTTTTGGTAGAAAAGAGATTATGCAACCATTTCACAAAACATCACTGAGTAAAAAGGAGAACTTAATATGCGGGTAAAAATTTACTGATGAAGAACTACATTTTAGTCAAAAATCTGTATAAATCTGCATTTGCTTCCCTGAATCTACTGCAGAGTAGGTTGACTTGCTTTAAAGTTAGTTTTTCCWGTGACATTTGRTGTTTCCAAACTGTGGCCTTATGAATGAAAACTTACCCCAGGCCATATGTGCTTTATCTCTGGCCGTACTACTGTTTCAACAGGATCTCGATTCCCATACCAATACTCACGACTTTTAAAGATGACGCCACATTCAGGACACTCCAGAACATACCTAGTAAAATGCGAAAAATAATTTGTCAAATGCATAGGAAATTTCAAAAGTATCACAGGTGTGTATGCATATGACATCTTCTCGCAGACTATTTATTACTGGTATGGTGTATTTATTACTGGTATGTAGGGACCTAAAATTATTAACATTTTACTTACCCTGACCAGGCATACTTCACAATACCAAACCAAGATGAATCATTAGCCGAGCACATCTTGGGTATCACTATATTCATCTTTCCTTTCTCGTAACATGCATTACATGTAAAATATCGATTATCAAACTGTGCTTGATATTGGCATCGTGTATTACACTGATGTGGCATGTCWTCTTTTTCGTGGTTCATACTTTGTTGGCATCGTGAACTAAATTAAAGAATTTCAGATTCTCAATATATGTCTTCATTCCAAACAAATTGGGCTTCCTGTGGTTTAAGAAGCACAGGGAGCCCATAAATATCGCATTTTTGACTTACTTGCATGAGATACAAGAGGATTGACATGTAAAATATGCATCTGGAAAGGTATTTAGGATGGTCCTTTCAATGTCCCCACAAAATTTTTCATTTAAAAACTAAAAACAAAAAATTTTTGTTTCTATTATAGAACAAAATATCAAGTACAAAATGTCATGTATGTTAAAAAAAATGTTGTTGACTTCTTTTTATACTTACCAAAAGTGCATCAAAAATGATTTGTGGTGATCTTGCCGATCTAACTGAGTTGTTACGAAGGTGTTCTTTTACTACTTTTCTTAATCCATTAAAGTCTGTTGGAGGAGCATAGGTTCTTGTACCGACATACATGATAGAGCTGAATGCTTGAGGAACACGGCCTACATCAGCAAATCTTTGTTTCAGRATATCATCAGGATTTTTTGATGGTGTACCTGCAATAAAGTCAAGCAATACATGTACATGTATGTCAGACAATYTYCWSAAGTTTTGCTTGGAGAGCAAGGGGTACAGATTTTATCCCTTTCCTCTCTCATCCTCCCAAAAACATCCCCCTAAGCAAGAGATGACATTTGCAAGATGCATCATGTGATTGCTCATCTCACAAAGCATTTTCAATGACCATAACATTTACTTGGCAAAGAAACCTCTGAAGTTTTTATAGGAAATCTGAATTTTTTATAGGACATCCCCATCTAGATGTATTTAATATCAAAACACTGATGCACCTTACTAAACACACCTCATTTGAGGAAAGATTACTAGGTAATGATTGCTGGTAGCTAGAAGATYGTCTCCTCTTCATGTCCAAGTTTTTTACTTGTTCTCATATTTTAAACATAATTACTAACTAACTAACCTGTCATGGTATTGTGCTCATCCACAACTCCGAGTAAATCAGTGTGCTGAGTTTCATGGAATATAATAACYGCAGGACCAAGTGTACACAATGGCACATTCATGTGAAACCTTTCTGCCGCTGCATGAAGTTCTTTGGAAAAATGCTTCAAGTACGCCTCAGAAGCATCGCCAAGAAAYGTAAACATGTCAGTATGCAGTCTTTCCGCTCTAGTTCTATATACTATTACATCAGATATTGCTAAAACTTTTAGTAAAAGCCTTGTTCTTTGATTCTGATTCCCAGACATTCCCAGAAGTCCTTCTGTGTCTAGGATTATGCAGTGGGTGTGTTTGTCATAAGACGCCCAGACGCCAACAGTGCAAGACAACTGCGATGCTGAAGTTTTAAACACTTCTTCACCATCAAAGAATGTGTGATTCAACGTATGTGATTTCCCATCTCCTGTGTTGCCAAATATTGACAATACTTTGGTTCCAGAATAATCACTTATGCCAAGCTTTTTTRTCAAATCTTCAGAGCTTTGAACCTGTGTTAAAAACAGTTGGAGCTTTTAAAAGCACAGAATTAACCAGAAATTCAATGATTTTTTACTTTCAATTTTTAAAGCACACGGAGTGTACAAAGTCCTTATATTTAAAAACGCAAACGAGAAACAGATGTTTTGCAAAGAGGAAATCCCCGAAACCGATCACCACTGTACCTGCAAGCATTCCTTCTCATCCAGGAGAAGAAAACTTCTTTCCTCCTCATCCGTAYCGTTTTTTCCTTGCGCAAGTGATGTATCTTTCGTCATTGTTAACTGCGTCTTTTTTGAGGGCGGACGCGGAGACTTACGTTTGGACGTYGGCTTGGATGCGTCCTGCGAGCAAAAAAAAAGAAGCTACAAATATTGCTAACATGTTTTTCATTATCGTGAAAACTAAGATATCCTATATATTTATGGACATAATTTTTGAAAGACGAAATATAGARGATATAAATAGATAGTGACTCGACTTTGAACTAAGATTTAATGCAGCAAAAATTATGTCATCATWACAAACAAATTTTACCCTCGAAAAAAGACACGCAGGATTTGACCATACCTTTGGCAATTCATCGCCCGATTTCACCTTTTCTCCTACTTCACCCTTCTCTGGTAGTTCCTCTTCCTTTTTTCTTTCGTTTGGTGCTGCACTAGAGGGTAAAATAGCCGCCATTTGTATTTTTTGCAAGCATATTTTTAGCAAAGCAAAGCGAAAACAAAAATATTGATGACTTTTGTTGAAAAAGCCTGGGCTCCACAACAAGCTAAGCTAGGTAACCATGTCATGTTTCCCATCGATCTTTGCGCATAAAATAAGTAGCCTGGCCTTCTTGTCAATTCCACATTCGAAGAACAAGTAAAATGGGGAAGAAGGACGGTGATTCTAAACGCAAAAGAAAGAGAGCGATTTTCGATTCTGATAGCGAAGATGACGAGAGTGGCGGAGACTTAGAAGATGTACGCATGCACAGTAACGGATGATATTAGTTTTAGGCTCGTTTGAGTGTATTTTTTTGGTTAAAAATAAAACCTGTTTTGCAGGAGTTGTTGAGTTTGACCAAGCGACAGAAGGACAAAGATGCCGTCTCAAAGCTCCAGCCGTCCAAGGCTTCTGCGGCTTCCGATAGCGATATGGATTCGTCAGATGATGGCGATGATGAGGTTCGTACTGCTTGGGTACAAAAGAGTTGAAGCAATATAAACAAATAAAATTGTATCAAATAAAATTGTCACAAATCAGAACAAGTTATAAAAAGATGTTCTGATTTCTGAGTTTGTCGACTGTACTTACGTGGTTGTAAAAAGGTTTGCAGGGTTTTTTTTTCATATCACGGCGATTGCAATGCATTTCTTTGAAAAGGTCAAGTAGAAATTACTAAACTTGACGATGTTAGTGTGGGCTTAATCCATAAAATCCTACTACGCTATTCACAGAACTTGTCTTTGAGAAATCCTGGAGAGGTTTAGTCATAGCTCTGACGTTTTACCTCAATAAAGATTATTTAACTTTTAGCTCTGATTCATTAAAGAAATAAAAAATAAAATAGAAATTAATCCATCASAGGAAAGAAGACTAGCAAATTTGGCACTCGAAAACTAACTGCACTGAGCAATAGAGCATGCTATATCCATTTGAATCTCACTCACACACCTGAGCTGCTTAAGAAATAAATACTCCCAAAAGGCAGCAACCAGTCACCAAATACTACTGAGAGGTAGTGAATTAAAGACACAGAACTCAAAAAAGTGCTGCAAAACTGTTGACCTATTGTGAACAAAAATCTTTCTCAATTATATATTTTTAAACTGGCCAAAACATCAACTAATTATAAAAATTTGTCAAACACTATTGAACACATTGTCAAGTAAGAGCAACAAGCTATCAAATTGTTGCATAAGATAATTTTCAAGAAAAGAAAACTRCTTTCGACAAAAATACAAAGTGAATATGAAGTATTTATGTAGTGATGGTTCTCAGTCACAACTTAAACTTCAAGATWAGCCAGGTTTGCARTCAAGTGCTTAAACAAGAAAACTTCATTTGACTTATGAAAGTGTTGTAAACACAACAAAAGCAATCACAAACCAATGCAAGCCAGTGCAAGTCTGCASACTGYARTGTCAATGGAACCAAAACACATAMCTGTGATAATAATAGTGGTTATATTTTATAGTGGACYGTGGACTCGGAAAACAGCAARGGYAAAATGATGAAAGGCAAAGCCAAAAAGAAACAAGGGAAAAAAAGAACTTCATCCGAGTCATCTGAAATGGAAAGTGGGGAGACGTCATCAGGGGGTGAGTTATGATGGTAATTTATGGTAATTTATGTGGATAATTTATTATAATGTATTTAATGTTAGAAATATCATCGTCATCATCTGATGATGACGAAGAAGAGCAATATGATGATGGTTGGGATGACGACTTACTTGGMGATGAGGCAGATAGGTCAATGTTGGCCAAAATGACAGAAAAAGAGAGAGAACAAGAACTCTACAACAGAAATGAAAAGCGTGAAGCACTCAAGACAAGATTTGAAATTGAAAAGAAACTTCGCAAGGCCAAGAAAGCTAATAAGAAAAGGAGAAAGAAAGAGGAGGAGGAAAAATCCAATACTTACAAGAGAGGRTCAGGAATTGCTTTAAGGAAACAAGAAAGAAAGAAAGTYGTTGAAGAAAAGAAAATCAAAGCTCTTGATGACTTRAAAGCAAGAMGATCAGAGAAGAAAGAAAAGAAAGAGGCATTTTTAGAGCAAAAAGAACCCTTAAAAACCAGTGAAGTTTTTACAGATGATGAAGATGATGATGAGCAAGAAGACAGCAAGTCTAGYGCTGATGAAGAGTCCTATGCTGGTTCTGACGATGAGTATGTTACTTAACATTCATGTACATGTTCAACCTATTTATTGCTATCTYTTCAACACCATGTCATTTTCTCTCTAAGATCAAGAAGACTACCCTACAAAGCTAAAACCACTTAAAATAATTAGGAAAGCTATTCAGTCTGAGCTTATTCAGTSTGAGCTCTTAAACTGAAAATTTAGAGCTATTCAAATAACTAGGCTTTTGATATTTGTGTAAACTTTGAGAATATTTGTAGAGAGTCTTTCCAGTTTTTAACAGTTTTTCCAGTTAATATTCATAATGCCTTATATTTAGTTTTTACTGATAATTTATGTTTATATTACTTTCGCATGATTGGTTTCAGACAAGGATATACAGAACCAGTTCAAATTTCTTCTGTAGATGACCTAGAACGAATTAGACTCTCAAGACACAAAATGGAGAAGTATGCAACACAATTATTATCATAATACAGATGAAAAGAGTGTCTTCCAAGTAACTGACATGATATTAATGAATAGTATTTAATGATAATGAGGAATGCAATTTTGATTRTTTTSTTAGGTGGGTACATATGCCATTTTTTGGTGATGCRGTTGTTGGGTGCTATGTGCGTATTGGTATTGGTAGTTGCGAAGGAAGACCTGTTTATAGGGTACGTCTATTTTCTTTCACACTTATTTGTTCTTTCCTGAATATACTTAGTTATTACGTTTTCAGATATTTTAGGTTTCTATTATAATTTAAAGTGTTATTTTTGTTGTTGAAAGGCTGCTGAAATTCGTGATGTGGTAGAAACTGCCAAGGTCTATAATTTGGGTTCAACAAAGACAAACAAAGGGCTTAAACTGAGGTAAAAGTTATTACTAATTTAATTATTATTTTATTACATGTTATAGTTGTAGCAAACTTATTCTTTTAATTTGGAAAGGGTTTCTTGAAAATGAGTTGATRTTTTCATGTGTTATAGACATGGAGCACAAGAGAGGGTGTTCAGGCTGGAATTTGTKTCTAATCAAAGAATAACAGAAACAGAGTTTCAACGATGGAGAGAGGAAGTATGCATTTTGTTCATAAAAATCCTTTTCTTCTCTTTTAATTGTCATTTTCACTTTCTCTTGCTTTAATTTTTTCTTTTTTCCTTTTTTCTTTATCAATCCATCTTGATTTTGTTCTTCCTTATCTTGATTTCATTCAGATGCTTCCCTTTTTTTACTGCTACTTCCCAGTTGTATTCATCATCCTTTCATCTCTTTCTTGCTAGAATGTTTTCAATATGGTTCCTATAATGATTCGAATTCATTTAGAAATTGACTCTAATGTGGGTCACTAGCTGAACTATTGTTAATAGTGTACACAAACTTTGGACAACTCCTTCCATCCTAATTTATTCCAATTCTTTATTCCCATTTCATTTATTTCTCAGTGTGAGGAACACRGCATACCAGTACCAACATTAGAGGACATCGAAAGAAAAGAAGCTGACATTAAAAATGCTGTTAACTAYATGTACAACGAAGATGATATTGAAAAGGTTGGGATTATCACATACATGTAATTCAAGATACGTTTTATTGGTCAAGGTATCCATTATATTGGTTTGTTTTTTGTTTTTGTTTTTTTGCTTAGATTGTATCAGAAAAGAAAAAGTTTAGAAAAACACCTTTTAATTACGCTCTACAGAAGAATAATCTTTCACAGAACAAGGTTTGTATCTTTGTATTTTATCATATAATCCAAATCCTTTATTTGGTAAATCAGTTGAAGTGTGCTCACATATTGTGCTTGATAACTTAGGAAATTGCTGAGCAGACAGGTGACCATGAAGCTGCTGATAAAATTCGTCTTGAACTTGAAACGTTGGAAGAAAGAGCACAGAACTTGGACAAACAGAGAACAAAAGG